CTTCCTTCCTTCCTTCCTTCCTTCCTTCCTTCCTTCCTTCCTTCCTTCCTGTTATATCAGTGTCTCTCAACCTTGGCAACTTGAAGAAGTGTGGACTACAACTCCCAGAATTTCCCAGCCAGCATGGCTAGCTGGGGAATTCTGGGAGTTGAAGTCCACACATCTTCAAGCTGCCAAGGTTGAGACACCCTGGTCTATATCATATACACTTATCCCATTTCTGCCTCTGGTAAACTTTGGCAAAAGTCTTTGTATTGTATCAAGGTGCTACGTTCAGGATCCTGGAGTCATTGTGTTACCACTGATGACTGCTATTGTGAATGCTCACTTCCCTTATTTCAAGAACTATGCTCAACTGTCAGCAGATTCTGCGTTTTAAAGATGATGCCTTTCCCCCCATTTCATGTGGGTTTGTGCGTGCATGTTTAGGTTTAATTAGGCGGCAGTACTTACCGAGCATGGAAGACGAACCACAGTCAGATTTAGTTGCTCTTTGGAGGTGAGACCAACAGGCTGGACCAGGAAGTCAAAAAAATCTGAGAAGAAGACCGTGGCGAGCCTCTTTTGTACAGTCAAAAAATAATACGAAAAATTATCTTTACCTTATGCGTGCTCATGCACAAACACACACGCACACACCCCTCTCGTAACTGAGGAAAAATGGACGTGGCAGCTCTTTGCACTGCAATCAATGTGCTATTATCACGACGCGATGCCAGATCCTGTGTAAATGAGGGGATTTGGGCAAATGTGACTTCCTCACCCCTGCGTGATAAGATCGCCTATTGCTTTTATTGATTAAATTATAACAGAGTTAAGCCCCCTTTTAATTCACTGTAATCCCCAGACAGAATAGAACAAATCAAGCCAAAAAAACCAGGACGGAATTCAAAATAAATTCAACTTCCCCACCCCCATGAAGCCATTACAAAAGTTCCAAAGTGTATATCCCGATCAAGTTATTAAAGAGAGTTGCAAAGCAGGACCAAGACAACAAATGATATGGTGCTCTGTTCCCCTTTGCATGTAGTCACTCTAGATCAGTGTTTTTCAACCTTGGCAACTTTAAGATGGGTGGACTTCAACTCCCAGAATTC